TCACAAAGAACATATATCCAAGCCACTTCCTTACTACATGCTTTGCATTTGTAACGTTCTTTTCTCTTTTCGTCTATTCGCATTGGCCGGGTGAATAATTACATTGGATCTAATACATGTTTTGAGCAGAGGTTACTACTTCGCGTTCTTCTAGGCAACGGAAGTGTTATTGAAATAAATTATAATGATACTAATGAAATACAAGATATCAATTTTTGCTATGTTGGACTCAAGAATCCTTTGAATTTTTACCCATTATTTGACCAATACATCCTAGTGACATACGCTCATGCAACTAATACATCCGATAATACAACTTTTATGGATCGGGGAATGGTTTTAGATTGGAGTGGAAATGTTATAAGGTTTATTAAAATTATAATTGATTAAATGTTTATAATAACGATAATTGATTTTATTATTTTATTACAGTCGGCTCGTTTTTGGGTCATCTTATTTGATTCAGGGTACCACTAGTTGGTATCCAGATGAATTTATAGTAAATAACATTAATCCTCGAAAGGGATTTTTACGTTTGTCCGTAGTTAGTGGAACAACTAATTTCAAATGGAGTCAATTCGGATAGTATGTCGCTTTCTTATGTTATTAATTGCATACAATTACATACGCACTTACTCAATTAAATTTATTTATTTATTTTTTTTAAGTATCGGTAATGGAGAATTTATTTTATTACAGAATGATACTGTTGGAAGTGTAGAATTTTCCAGCTTTCAAGTTACCGTATTTGCTACTTTAAATGGTGGATATGCAATTGTGTATGCGAATACGACAAATAAATATCCTAATGACCCAATGTCCACCACATTTACCCCGAAGGCAGGAATATATGCATTATTATTGGGTCAAAATCAGACAACAACCACTCAACAAATTATTTTATATGAAATGCCTACTCCTAATATGACATTTAGTAATTTATTTTGTTCTGTAGACTACGTTTTCATTGGTCATACATGTATTATCTCAGTACTACAAAGTGTTCTAGTCCCGTCTAATATCAATGTAACATATTCTAATGTAACTACATCCACACTTTTTAGTCCGACTACAACTTCTGCTATACAAGTTATCACACCAGTTAATGTTACTACAGTTAACACCACCGCGCCACCTAATATTACAACAAAAACATTTTATATTAAAATTCGCTTTCTTTCTACGGGATCTGTTATGACTTTGAATCCAATATTCAATGTTTCTTCCATTAACGCAAATATTAGAACTCTACCTCTTGGTGGATACGCATTTATCTCACGACAACCTAATGCTGGAATTGTAACTTTCAACTTTAGCCTTTATGATGAATATAATAAACTGTCTAACTGGCCGTTTCCGCTGCAAACGATTACCTCAAATCTAGTTGGCGCGTTTGATATAATACAAAATAATTCAATGTTAGTGGCACAAAATGAATCAGGTAGCACTTGGAACCTTCTTTCAATCAATTTTCCAATACTTGCTCCGTATCAAGGTAAAATTTAGAATTTAATTAATAATATTATAATAAATTCTTCTTAATTTAAAGCAAAAATTATGTTTAAATTTTATAGATGGGGGTTACGGTAATTTACAGGTGAACTCAACATATCCTCAAAGAAACAGTGTAAATATACCATTAAATACTGGAATAATCAACATCACGTTCAATGATCCCGTTTTGCTTTCAGATGGCAATTTAACAATTTATCAAATCATTAACCAAACCAACGTTCCTCGACAATTGATCTATTCAAGAATTTGCACTATTGGTAATTGCATGACTTCGAACAACCTTGTTAGTCTTCAAGTGCTTCCTAGCACCTTCAATGACCCAGGTGGAAGTTATTATATACAGATGGGTATCAATTTTGTAATGAGTGCAGTTTATAAAGAACCCTTACTGGGAATTAATCCAAATATATGGAATGTTCAAACAGGTTTATATCATAAAATTACGATCTTTTAGTTATTAAAATTACTTATTAATAATGAATTTCATTAATTAAATTAAATAGATACTAGTAATATGAATAATCAAAAGCCTACAGGTAATGTAATTTAAATTTATCTGTGAATTTATCTATATATTCATAATATTAACTCAATACTTACAATTGAATTAGGCGATATTAATGGAAAATTACGGTTAACACCATCTGGAACTTCATATTTTCAAGGATTAAACAACTCAGGAAAAGCTGAATTTTTTAATAATTTAATAAATGATCTCTTATTTATAATTCCCACTGAGAAAGGAAGATTAGATTCAAATAAGAACTATCAAATTGATAAACCTTTATCCAATGTAGTGCAATATCTTATCCCACTTACTATTTATGAGATGAGAAAAGGTGATAAAAAGAATGCCACATCGATCCATGATGATTTAAATACATTAATAAAAAATAAGGATTATACGGGCATAACATTATATGGAAATACTTCTCGATTTTTAGATATTGATTATGGATTTCAAAGAGCCAGTAAGGACTCATTATTTATTATTATTTTTTATATTGTCTTCTTTTGTAACATTTTTTTTTTTTTTTGATAGCGACAATACTGGAATTTTTTGAATTACATGAGACAAGAATCATTTTGTTGCTTGTAGGCATAATTTTATTTTTAGCATTATTCGTCATAGCAAAGATAAAATCACCAGAGGTAATATTTATTTTAATTAGCATATATGATTTTAGTTACTTTCCTCAATTTTCTAATATATGTATAAAAATGTAGAGCCAAAATTTTATTATTATCCAAATTGGTATTACTATATTTCGTACTACGACTGTTACTATGTTTACTTTTACTAGTGCGAAAGCTATCATAAATCCAAATCTTTACATACCAAGGTAAGATTATATATCACTTAAATAAAACTATTTAAATTTATACTAAAATTTATTTTTATTTTTTAAAAAAAAAATAGTTTAGTATTTTTATTTGTACCCATAATATTAAATTTATTGGTAGCATTTACAATAATATTTTTTGGTAAAGGAGATTTTAGCAAATGGTTTTCAAAATATGGAAGGACTGCTACTTCATTTGCAATGTTATCTGGTGCAAATATTGATGTATTATTAATATTAAAATCAAAATTGATGAAATTTGATCTTTTTGATGCTCCATTATCCGACAAGGCTTTAAAAATTATTTTTATTACATCCTGTATTGACGTATTACTTTCAGATATTCCACAATTTATTATTCAGGTAAGTTATATTATATCAAATGAAAATTATTATAATTAATTTTGCTGAAATAATTTAAATTATATTTTAGATATTGTATATAAATAATAGTGTCGAATATGATATTCTTCCATTATTCACCTTAATAGCATCAGGTCTTTCATTATCTTCTAACATAATTAGTAAATTATTCTTTATTAAATATAGTGCATATTCCCCCTATTTAAGTAATTTCTATGACCATCATGCTGTCGAATCAAATAATATTGATGAGCATAGAAATAGTTATGAAGAAGATGAGGAGGATATATTTTAAAAGATTAGGATTTTTATGAATTTAGTTTGTTGAATATATTATTGATAGTTTATGTAATTATATAAGTTTTTAATTATAGTTTAATCATGTGCGTGAAAATTTAACAACTTTATTATAATTTAAGATTTTGTTAAACTTTGTAAAAAAAAAAAGTTGAAAATTTTGTTAGGTTTTTTACAGTTAATTTATAATGTATATGTATTAAAATATAAAATATTAACTGTAAAAATTTTGATTTATTCAAATATAATTAAATAAAATAACTTACGGGTATTTATTTTTAATGCGAGATTTTATTTTATTAGCAATTTAGGAACTTTTGCAAAGAGTTTAAATTTAAAATTATAGAACTTACTTCTTTTGGCTTTTAACTTTAATAGATTTTTATAAAGATAATAATTTGGTTACTTTATTTAAAAGATTATATCTGTTATTAGATTTAAACCTGTACTATAGACCAGCCTTAAAATTTATTAGATTTAAACCGGGAAATAGATTCCTTGTACTGTACTTTATGGTACTATAATAGTTGCTTAATTCGTACATTCGTACAATATAAAATTAATTAAACGGCTTTTATAACTAGTTAAGTCAAAATTTAAAACTTTTCATAACCCGGTAATTCTTATACTATAAAACAAAATTATTTTCGTAAAATTTCTATATTTAAAACATTTGTTAAAATAAATTTATTATTAAAACTTTATAGCGCTGGAGGCAAAAAATGCTCTGTAACCTTATTTAAGGTAGTGCTTGGATCCGGATAGGGTTATCCGGATAAGTTATCCGTATATCCGGATAAGGGTTTAGCTAACGGATAAGTAAAATTGTAACGGATAAATTATCCGGATTATCCGGATATCCGGTTATCCATTAATAATTTAATACTGG